ATTTACAGGTCACCTGAGTCGCTCAAGCCATCTATTGCTATCTGTTTTTGTCCTTCGTCATGATCCTCATAAGTATTTGAACATTTTCAACTTTTTCTCTGAAACTGGCCTACTGTTGAACCAGTTTCAACCAATTTTAGCATCTAGCATTTATGCGTTAAAGGGAACAAAAATTGTGAATTTCATGGCTTCCTTCTTTCCTGGGGCCTGAGATGTGGGCCAAAACCATTAGATTAATGTAATCTTTTTAAAATCTGCTTATTATATAGCTTAAGATTATCCCTGTAGTGTATCTGTAGAGTAAATGTGTAATTACTTTTTCTTTTGTTCGCAGGAGTTGGAGGATGAAGATTTAGTGAACAAGACACAGTCCTCTAAAATTGATACAGATCCTAACAGTGGAGCATCAGATGACTTCCAGGAGTTTGAGTCTTACCATCCCATAGAAGAGAGCCAGAAAACAGTGACCTCAGGTAGTACTGAAAGAATGACATTGACATGGTCATGATGAAATCTCTTTGTGAAGTTTTCTTATCTTGCTTATATACTCACTATAAGTTGGACTTTTGAAACCCCAAGTATATCCTACTGTTTAACTTTTCTGTAGTCTTACCGTTTTTCTGCAACAAACCTTAGATTATATTTTTTTTGCTTATCAGTGACTTATTTTAACATATAACATAATTTAAAGAAGAATCATTTTTAGTCTGAATTTTTCCCCTGCTTTCACTGAAAGTAGGAAATATTAACTTGCCTGCCATCCATCTTTCTGTCAGTCAGACAGTCAATGTGTAACACTTGTTTCAGGATTATATCTCAAAGAAGCTTCTGAACTTTTGCAATGAAATTTTATGATACGATTTGCTATAACATAAAGAAGACTCCTATTAATTTTGAGGTCGAAAGATTATTGTCTAAAATTATTAAATGTCCCTGTATAACATTTTCATACCTGGATTATATCTTTGTATCCATCAGATGATATTCTTGTGCTCAATACTAGTGAAAGAATGGAAATTTTTTCAAAAGCGTTGTAAGTTAGAATTAAATTTCTGAGTCTAAAGTTAATAATTTCAGGGTGAGGTTGCAGAAATATTTATTCACATGTATGATGTGTTGTAGATGGGATAGCCCACTCCTGTACAAGTGACAGCCTAGCTGATGTACAATGTAAAAATTTCACCCCAAGTCTTGTCTCCAGTGGTTACGGTCACGGCTGTTTCCATGTTAACTCTGTCATCTGAGGATTCACTCAGTATAGAAAGTATAGAGGGCAATTGAAGATCTAAAAGAGGACATAAAGGCAGTCCGGAGCAAACAAGTCAAACTTGGATAATGAGGAGAACAAAGAGGTTCCCATTAAACTTACAAATAGTGATTCTGAGACAGTGGAAGTTCAGAAGGAGGCTATGACCTCAATTTCTGAAAGCAATATTCATATAGCAGAAAATAAAGCTGAGGAGAGAGAAGAGCTGAATAAGTCAAATGTGGATTCAAATTGTTCATTAGATACTTCTAGTTCATCTTTAGAAGCCAGAGATGGAAGTTTAGCAGAAAAACCTGATCCCAATGACAGTAATGTTCATTCTGCAAGTTGTGATACATCTTTATGTGAATTAAGTAGTGATGTTGAAACATCAAACATTGAAGTGGATTCGTCAATAATTTCTCAGTCTGAAAAATTAAAACGATCAAAGGAGGAGAGGAAAAAAATTGTTGAAAGTCTTGGTGCTATAAGTAAAGACACTACAACAAGAAAAGTGAATAAAGAAAACAGGAAGAAGTCAGAGGGTGCGTCACAAAGGGCCAGTGCAATAAGTGAATTTGTGGATCCCTACAGTGAAACAGCCATGGAGGAGCTGGAAAAGTTAGCCGCTGAGGAGGAGGAGGAGTCAGAAGAATGTCCAGAGAAAGTGCCTCCAGTCAGGACTGAGGAGCCGCATATATCAGAGACAGCGGGGAAACGTCCATCAGGGAAACGGAGCCAGCAGCGCCCGGTGTCCTGTGTAGTGTCCCCCTCACAAGACATGGTGTCTATCTTGGAGGAGAGCATGAAGAGGAACAGCCTTACTCTCCACCTCTCTGATGATGAAGAAATGTCTGGTAGGTATTCAAACTGTTGTTTTGGAGTTTGAACATTTGTAAATTATGTTAAGCTTTCAGCAGACTGGCTTTTTATCTCACCTTTTAGCTTTTCTGATCAAAATTTGTCCTTTGTCTGTCGTTATTGTCGTTGTCATTAACTTTTCACATTTTCATCTTCTTCTCAAGAACCACTGGACCAATTTCAACCAAACTTGCTACAAAGCATCCTTGGATGAAGGGGATTCAAGTTTGTTCAAATGAAGGGCCACACCCTCTTCTAAGGGAAGATAATTTTTAAAAAATCTTCTTCTCAAAAACTACTGGGCCAGGAGATGAAACTCATGTTGAATCATCCTCAGGTAGTGTACATTAAAATTTGTTCAAATCATGACCCCATGGGGTAGGGTGTGGCCACAATGGCCGATCAAAGTTTTACATAGGAATATGTAGGAAAAATCTTTAAAAATCTTCTTCTGAAGATCCATAGGGACAGGAAAGATGAAACTCATGCTGAATCATCCTCAGGTAGTGTACATTCAAGTTTGCTCAAATCATGAACCCCTGGGCTAGGGTGGGGCCACAATGGCCAATCAATAGTGCTGTGCAATATTACCGGTTAACCGGTGTATCCCGATTTCGTTCTTCACAATACGTATCGCGGTATTTTTTTGTGAATACCGGTTCGGGTTCGATATGCTATAAATTGTTACAAAAAGAGTTATTTACCCTTTTCAAGGTAAAATATGGCGGCAAGCGACGTAAAGTGTGATCAGAAACCAGAGATATGTCTCTTTCAAAAACAAAACGACGACAACTGTTATATGAAACCCCTTCATGTTAAAGCTGAATCTGAGTATTACAACTTAATTGAATCTCAACAAGTTGTGCCACAAAAAAAAAACTTATCTTGCCGCTTGCGCCGACATAGCGCGATCAGGCAATTGGAATATCAACTCGAGAATACATGTAATTTGAGTTTGTGTTTTCATTTAACCTTGACGAAAAGCAAAAAATTATTAAATATTTATATCGTGATATATTGCAATACACAATATAATATTGCAATATATCGCGATACGATTTTTCCGTCACGATACCCAGCACTACCAATCAAAGTATTACATAGGAATATATAGGGAAATCTTTAGAAATTTTCGTCTCAAGTACTGCAAAGCCATGATTAGTGATATTTACAGGTATATAGAAGCAACCTCAGGTACTGTAGATTCTAGTTTGTTCCTAGGGATAGGGTGGAGCCACAATGGGTGATCCAACTTTTACATTAAAATATATTTTAAAAAATCTTTTTAGCAGGGCTTATTGCTCGAAGAGCAATTGCCGGCTTATGTCATCTTGTTCAAGACAGGAAGTCAACCCCATAGTCGCCATGTTAAAGTTACGTGTAAAAATATAGTTCTTACTCTCAACCGCTTTTGAGATAACACAAACACTAAATAAAGCAACAAAAATAAAACGAAGTTTTAGCTATATAAATAAACATTAGTACTGTAGTAATGGCTTTGGAAACCTCAGTCCTAAGTCAAAGAACATATTTCAAATTAGTGTAAGGTTTTTGATGAATTTTTCAATATGTGCAAAGTTTATTTATATTTGATAGGCAGAAACTTCTCTACACATACGAGGTGACCTAATCAACACACACACAACCACACTTGCCTGTTTGTTTACATTCAGCTGCGGTACCAGATTAATTCTGATTCTTGCACAAAATTGGATCATGGTATTAGGATTGCGTCACGTACCCAACTTAAGTACTAGTTTTATATTGATTAGTTTTAAAATAATTTCACTCATCAGAATATAAATGTGATTCATATAAGAATTATTTCATTTTGTGTTTTAACTGGATTATATTTCATGAAGATGACAGGGCCTAAATAATAACAATCGGTAAGTACAAGTTTTGGTATAGATTTGGGTAAAATAGTCTGAAATGCAAACGGCTAGGTTAAAGTTTAAAGGATCAAAGGTCATCCGATGCTACAATTACGAATTTCACATTCAAAGTTATCCCCCGTTATCAACGTTACATTCAGTTACAAGATCCAGAATTTTTTTCTGGGAGGGAGGGGGGGGGGGGGTTCCAAAGAATTTCCTGAGAAGCAAGAAAAAAAAGAAGTTATGGTTTGGTCTGTTTTCTAGGGTTGAGGGACACTTAGGGCATCCAAAGTCTTTTTTATTTGCTTCAGTATATATTATAGTCCTGCAAATTCCGGGGTAGGGGGGGGGGTGTTGAGGGGATCCTCTTTCCCTGTCCTGTAATGACGAATGATCATGTGACTCCTAAATAGTAGGAAACTTTTTCCATTCCACTATACATAATATTGTTTCTTGTGTTATTATGTTATGTAAATTTAATGGTATAAAGGTTATGAACCCCTAGCAATTAGTTCACTCTCCTAATGAGCTGGAAATGTTCACAATATGACTGCCTTAAATTAAATAAAAGTGCATCAATGATAAGATTACTTGACATTTTATTCATGAATTTGTGTCAACATATCTTCCTAGAATTAGGAATGAGAATCATTCAGAGATGGACCACATTAAACTATTTGTATAAACATTTTTTTTTTTTTTTGCATACATGAACAAACAGGGGTCTGGGAAGGGGTGAGGGGAAGGATCGAGTTAATATTTCTTTACATCTTAATGGTTGAAAACTCCTAAAATGAATGTTGACCTCAAATCTAACTTGTCCTCATTATTTTTCAAATGGTGGTGTCTCCATATGAGTGAAAAATTCCTGAGAGGGATGTTTAACAACAAACAAAATGACATAAAAACACAATATTGATTTGCGTTAAGAAATATGCAGGGGATTTTTTCCATCATAAATCTTCTTCTCAAGAACAGCAAGGGCATTCTTGTCCCCCATTTTGGGGAAAGGGAGGGGACACTAAATCTCATTTGTCTGTCAGTCTGTCCATCTTATTGACAGCTAGTATGTGCATCTGTCACAATAAATTTAACCTTGGTCATAACTTTTGAATGATAAGAGATAGTGCTTTCATATTTCACATGCACATTACCACAAAACTTTCTAAATATACTATGATTTTTTAACCCAAGTGAGACCTTGACCTTAAAGTTTTACCTACTTTCCAAAAAATAACATTTTAAATTGATCATTTTGAAAGAGAAAAGAAAGGGCATTCAGATTATACATGTTTATTACATGTGAAAAGACTTTTCTAAATATATCATGACTTTTGACTCTGTGACCTTGACCTAGAAGTTTAACCTACTTTTCAAAAATATTATATTGTATATATAACTTTTGATTCAAAAGAGATAGGACTTTCATATTTGACATGTACATTACCTGCAACAAAATGTTTCAGAGCATGCTATGATTTTTCCCCTTTGACCCAATTTTCAAAAATTGATATATGATAGGGGTGCATATTTGACACACAATCTGCCATAAATTATGGTATCTCATTCAGTAAAACACAGAAAGCAGAGGACCACAATTCTTTGAATTTGCTTGTATAATCTTGATAGATGGAACATGCTCATATAATGTAGATTCAAGTTTTTTATGCCACACCATGATTAGGAATACATGTATAGTTTTTGTCATGTCCGTCCTCCACCCTTCCATCTGTCTTTCCATCGGGCTCAAAGAAACTTTCTAGATATTTTTATCAAAGTTCATATGTTGATGCATACTGATGTAAATATCCAACTGCAGCAATATTTTTTGACTTTGACTTTTCCTTTGACCTTCACTTAACTTTTCTTTAAATTAGTGTTTAGCTTTATTTTAAAGAAACCATTCAAGTTGTGTAATGAAACTTCACATGATGATACATACTGATGTAAGCTTTACGATGCTTCACTCTTTTTTACCTTGACTTTTCCTGTGACCTTGATATCACTTTTCTAAAATTAATGTCTAGACCAGTTTTGAATAAACAATTCAAGATATATTTATCAAACCTCATATGCTGATACATACTGCTAAGAGCTATTAATACGTCAACTTATTTTGACCTTGAATTTTCCTTTGACCTTGACCTCACTTTTTAAAATATCATTTTTCAACACCATTAGTCCCCCCGGGGCAAATTCAACATTCCAAAACCTTACTGTACATCTACATGACACCACCAACCATCTCCCAAAAGATGATTAGGCTACTGTGTAAAATGTAAGAGGAGTTCAGGGAAAACAGGGCTTTTTGCATAAAAAACGTCATTTTTCGACCCCCTTTTGACCCCCTGGGCCTTGAATCAAAATTCCGAAACATTGCTGCACATCTACATGACACCACCAACCATCTCCCAAAAGATGATTAGCCTACTGTGTAAAATGTAAGAGGAGTTCAAAGACGGGGCTTTTTGCATAAAAAACATCATTTTTCGAATTTGTCCCCCCGGGGCAAAATCAAAATTCCTAAACCTTACTGCACATCTACAGGACACCACCAACCATCTCCCAAAAGATGATTAGGCTACTGTGTAAAATGTAAGAGGAGTTCAGGGAAGACAGGGCTTTTTGCATAAAAAACATCATTTTTCGACCCCCATTTGACCCCCTGGGGCAAAATCAAAATTCTGAAACCTTTACTGCACATCGACAGGACACCACCAACCATCTCCCAAAAGATGATTAGGCTACTGTGTAAAATGTAAGAGGAGTTCAGGGAAGACAGGGCTTTTTGCATAAAAAAAAATCATTATTTTTCGACCCCCATTTGACCCCCAGGGGCAAAATCAAAATTCTGAAACTTTACTGCACATCTACAGGACACCACCAACCATCTCCCAAAAGATGATTAGGCTACTGTGTAAAATGTAAGAGGAGTTCAGGGAAGACGGGGCTTTTTGCATAAAAAACATCATTTTTCGACCCCCATTTGACCCCCTGGGGCAAAATCAAAATTCCGAAACCTTACTGCACATCTACAGGACACCACCAACCATCTCCCAAAAGATGATTAGGCTACTGTGTAAAATGTAAGAGGAGTTCAGGGAAGACGGGGCTTTTTGCATAAAAAACATCATTTTTCGACCCCCATTTGACCCCCTGGGGCAAAATCAAAATTCTGAAACTTTACTGCACATCTACAGGACACCACCAACCATCTCCCAAAAGATGATTAGGCTACTGTGTAAAATGTAAGAGGAGTTCAGGGAAGACAGGGCTTTTTGCATAAAAAAACATCATTTTTCGACCCCCATTTGACCCCCAGGGGCAAAATCAAAATTCTGAAACTTTACTGCACATCTACAGGACACCACCAACCATCTCCCAAAAGATGATTAGCCTACTGTGTAAAATGTAAGAGGAGTTCAGGGAAGACGGGGCTTTTTGCATAAAAAACATCATTTTTCGACCCCCATTTGACCCCCTGGGGCAAAATCAAAATTCCGAAACCTTACTGCACATCTACAGGACACCACCAACCATCTCCCAAAAGATGATTAGGCTACTGTGTAAAATGTAAGAGGAGTTCAGGGAAGACGGGGCTTTTTGCATAAAAAACATCATTTTTCGACCCCCATTTGACCCCCTGGGGCAAAATCAAAATTCCGAAACCTTACTGCACATCTACATGACACCATCAACCATCTCCCAAAAGATGATTAGGCTACTGTGTAAAATGTAAGAGGAGTTCAGGGAAGACGGTTCTTTTTTGATAAAAAAAGTTAATTTTCGACCCCCATTTGACCCCCCGGGGCAAAATCAAAATTCCGAAACCTTACTGCACATCTACATGACACCATCAACCATCTCCCAAAAGATGATTAGGCTACTGTGTAAAATGTAAGAGGAGTTCAGGGAAGACGGGGCTTTTTGCATAAAAAACATCATTTTTCGACCCCCATTTGACCCCCCGGGGCAAAATCAAAATTCCGAAACCTTATTGCACATCTACATGACAACACCAACCATCTCCCAAAAGATGATTAGCCTACTGTGTAAAATGTAACAGGAGTTCAGGGAAGACGGGGCTTTTTGCATAAAAAACATCATTTTTCGACCCCCATTTGACCCCCTGGGGCAAAATCAAAATTCCGAAACATTACTGCACATCTACATGACACCACCAACCATCTCCCAAAAGATGATTAGGCTACTGTGTAAAATGTAAGAGGAGTTCAGGGAAGACGGGGCTTTTTGCATAAAAAACGTCATTTTTCGACCCCCATTTGACCCCCTGGGGCAAAATCAAAATTCCGAAACCTTACTGCACATCTACAGGACACCACCAACCATCTCCCAAAAGATGATTAGCCTACTGTGTAAAATGTAAGAGGAGTTCAGGGAAGACGGGGCTTTTTGCATAAAAAACGTCATTTTTCGACCCCCATTTGACCCCCCAGGGCAAAATCAAAATTCCGAAACCTTACTGCATATTTACATGACACCACCAACCATCTCCCAAAAGATGATTAGGCTACTGTGTAAAATGTAAGAGGAGTTCAGGGAAGAAAAGTGTGACAGACGGACGGACGGACGGACGGACGGACATGAGTAACAACAATATACCCAAACTTTCTTTAGAAAGTGCGGGTATAACGAAGTTTTATCTATATAAATAAACATTAGTAGAAATGGCTTTGGAAACCTCAGTCCTAAGTCAAAGAACATAGTTCATTAGCGTAAGGATTTTTGATAATCAGTGTTATCGTAGTTCTCTACACATACGAGGTAAAGCAGGAGAGGGAACCAGACTTGACTGTTTGTTTACATTCAGCTGCGACACCAGATTAATTCTGATTCTGACAAAATCGGATCGTGGTATTAGGATTGAAAAACTCACTGTCAGTGTCTTATCATTTATATTGATAGTTTTAAAATAATTTTTTCATCAGAATATAAACGTGATTCATGTAAGAAATTCATTCTACTCTGTAAATGAGCCCGGCTCTCTGTACACCTGAGTACTTTGATCTATAAAGAAAACAAAGCCATGGTTAGTGATAGGATCCTTAGGTAGTGTAGAATTAAATTTGTTCAAATCAAAACCTCCAAGGGTAGAGTGGGGTTTCAATGGTGGATCAAAGTTTTACATAGGGAAATGAAGGGAAAAATCTCAATAACAGAAAAGCTGTGTTAAGTCATATTGACATGTAAGCATCCTCATGTATTGAAGATTTAAATTTGTTCAAATCATGAGTACCCATTGGGGTAGGGAGGGAAAGAATGGCAGACCTCTTTACTCTTACGATTTTGCTGTATTTTTTATGGATTTTTAGTCCACAATACATCTCATGTTTTGCTATTTTGAAAATACAGAAATCTGAAATACATGTCTTTGGAATTCAGCAATTAGTTTTCGTTTTGATTATACCCCCCGCAAACGAAGTTTGGGGGGGGTATATAGGAATGTTCGTCTGTCTGTGCAAACGTGTCCGGTCCATATCTTTCTTACGGAGGGACATTAGAATCTACTACTCCACACAAAGATTGCCCATGACCTAAGGCTGTGTCATGAACCTGACCTAAGGTCATTTTGGGAAGTTCAAGGTCACTGGAAGAACAAGTTCATAATTCGTGTCCGGTCCATATCTTTCTTATGGATAAACCTGGTAGGTTCTCATTTCACACAAAGATTGCCCATGACCCAAGGGTGTGTCATGACCTTGACCCAAGGTCATTTGGGGAAGTTCAAGGTCACTGGAAGAAAAAGTTCATAATTCGTGTCCGGTCTACATTTTTTTTATGGATAAACTTGGTAGGTTCTCATTTCACCCAAAGATTGCCCATGACCTAAGGGTGTGTCAACCTTGACCCAAGGTCATTTGGAGAAGTTCAAGGTCACAGGAGTTTAAAATTCATAATTTGTGTCCGGTCTATATCTTTCTAATGAATAAATTGGTAGGTTCTCAAGTCTACACAAAGATTGCCCATGACCCAAGGGTTTGTCATGACCTTGATTCAAGGTCATTTGGAAATTCAAGATCACTTGAAAAAGTTCATAATTTATGTTCAATCAATGAATCTTTCTTATTGTTACTTGGTATTCTCAAAAAGCTTCACATAAAGATTGCACATGACCAATTTATGTCATTATTGATCAAGGTCATTTGGGGAAGTTCAAGGTCACTGGAAGAAAAATTTCATAATTCATGTGTGATACATATCTTTATTTGGAAAAATTTAATTCTGAAAAACCCGAAGAGACCCATGAATTTATGTCTATTATGAAATGTGAAATACTACATAACTACTCACTAAATTCTTCATCCACAAAATCAAATCCCCACAGAAAACGAGTTTTTCCTCAAACCATGAAAATTTGACTCCTTGAAAATATTTGATTTTATGGATAAAATATGGATCCCCATTTCTGCATTATTTAAATGAAAAAAATTGTATTTAGGAATTTTCAGAAGAAGTTGAAGAAAAAATGAAATTAAATTATTTTAAAGAAATGTATTGCTTATATTTTGTAAAATGTATTATATTTGGCGTGTACAATATTAAGCAGAAATTGATTTTTGAACCCCCCAAGTTAAGTCAGTATTTGATTTGGCCTCCCATATCTTAATGTTCCTATAAATGGATATATGTTTAAGACATTAAGTCTTGTACCTGAATTAGCGGAAGTTTCTTTTCGCCAAAAACACTAAAAAGAATACACCGCCAAATGTATTACATTTACAGTATGTCTCTACCCAGTAGATTTATATGAAGTCTTTTGAGACACTTTTGATGAGAATTGGTACTGATTTTACGTATTTCTATCCTTTTAAATAGGTAATGATGACTCAGTAAGTGTGTGTTCATTTGGAAGTAGAGCAGATCTAGACAGACTACAGGAAATCCCAGTACCCTCTTGGGTTCAAAATGGAGAGAGTGTCATAGTTCAGTCCTCAAAAGGGTCCTCTAATACAGGAGTGGTCAGATTTGTAGGAAACGTGGAGTTTGCAACAGGCCCATGGGTTGGAGTGGAACTTGATTTACCAGAAGGTACCAGTAGCATATTGATAACTTTTTTATACCTCCTTTGAAAAAGTGGGCATATTGCTTTGCACCTGTCAGTCAATCTTTCTATTGAAAGACCATGTGTTGTCCACTCAATATCTTGAGATCCATTTGCTTGACAAATATCAAATTTGGTACACTTGAACCTCCTTGTAAAATGAACCTAATTGTTTTAGAGGTCATAAGGTCAAAAGTCAAGGGCCAAGTTAATCTAGACATAGTCTTATTTATCCAATATTTTAAAAACCATTTTGCTCGACAGACACAACCTGTTATTTAATTTTGTTTGAAGAAAAAGTGATGCAAGTGTTGTGGCCCATGAACCTATGTTTATACATGTTGGGTTCTTCTATTACGTTTCAGATTTAAATGTTAGGAGCCGAAGTGCTAGTACTACACTTGTTAAAATACTGTGAAATCAATATATTCATGCAGGTTTCATTTTGTTTATACGCCCGTCTTATGACGGGACGTATTATGTTATAGGCTTCATGTCAGTCCATCCGTCCGTCCGTCTGTCCATTTGTGTCCGGCTCATAACTTGAATACTATTAGGCCTAGGATTATCAAACTTTGTCAACTGATACTTCTTGGGCAGACGGTGTGTCGCGCACAAAAAGTAGGTCGCTCTGACCTTTAATAAAGACGCTATAGCCAAATATGGAAAAATCCTGTCCGGCTCATAACTAGAAAACTATTAGACCTAGAGCTTTCAAACTTGGGAAAAGTATACATCTAAGGTAGAGGGTGTGTCGCGGCCTATTTCAAGGTCACTGTGACCTTTAATTTTAGTGATTTTTTTTAAAAAAAACGTAGTCTTTTAAATTTTAAATTTCATAATCCTAAAAGATGTAAAAATATAGTTGTATCCTTATAAAAAAAATGTTAAATTCAGTAAAAACTTATTTTTTCATCACTTTACATATCTAAACAAATGTTAATGTTTTGAAGTTTCAGTTTATCTAATGGGCATGATCTCAAGCATGTAAGGAAGGTCTTCCAGCAGACGTTAAAGAGAGGAGAAATTAATGATTTATTGTCGAGCTGTGGCAAGAAATCTCTAGACTGATCATGTGAGAATCTATTTATCTCTTGGGAGTCAAAAAGAAATGCACTAGTTGCTTGTGTTAATTAAGAGTTCTTGATGGGATTCCAGATAAAGATTTTTGGTGACAGTAATTAAAACATTTGTTTTAGTGTATGATTAAAACTAAATTAATCTTTATAATTAAAACCTGAGGCAAAAGAAAAAGTGACATTTCAATTTTGATATATTTGCAACAAATTGCAGTCATGTCTCACTTAGAATTTTATAGTCTAAAGAATAAATCATTTTTGATTTTTTTATTAGACTTAAGCATTTCCATTATTTCATAAAATATGCAATAAACAATAAAGCTGCAGATGGATATTTGTTAAGCTCTAACACAGCCAGTTAAGAATTATATGATATATTATTTGTTATAATTAATCCCTACACTGTAAGTCTCTTAGAGATGTATGTAAAATATTTTAAACATGATAAGAAATGGAAATTAGATCATTGAAATCTGTGTCAACTGTTAATCAAGGTTACTTGATTTTCTTGCACCCCAACGCAATTTATGATTATTGAACAATATTTGACGCTATCATGCTGTGGCGGGGCACTTTTTTTAAATATACTTGAATTTATGCTTTTGCAAATGTAAATACACCTTCTCATAAGAATCATAAAAGGCGGGATTTTCACTATTCATAATTTGACTCCTTGAAAATATTTGATTTTACAGTAAAATATTCGCACCTTTTCTTTTTAAATGATCTATTAAAGAATTTTCAGAGAAGTTGAGGAAAAAATGAAATTAATTAAATAAAACATTCTTATACCTTGTATTTTATTTCGGCGTTAGGAAAGTATATTTAACACATTGTACACATTACATATCATATCTAGCCCAGTAACACTAAAGCAGTGAAACGTATTACATTTACAGTATGTCTCTACCCAGTAGATTTATATGAAGTCTTTTGAGACACTTTTGATGAGAATTGGTACTGATTTTACTAATCCTTCTTGACAGGTAAAAATGATGGCTCTGTTAAAGGCACCAGGTACTTCAAGTGCAGGTCACGTCATGGGATTTTTGTGCGTCATGATAAACTGATATTAGACAAGAAAAGACGAGGGTCGCGTAAGCAAGCCAAAGATTTGGCCAAAAGACACAGCATGGGTAGTCCAGCTAATATGGGGGCCAGTTTGCCTAACCACCAATCCTCTAGTCCAAACAATACAGTTGTTAAAAGCAGTGCGAAAAAAAAATTATAATGGATGTCATATATCTGAAATAAGACTGATGTGATGTTATGAAACTATTCTGATGTTCTCTTTGAAATTTAACATTTCACAAGGAGTTGGGTTTTCCATAATTAATTTGTTCATGAATAGTTTACAAGGCTTTTTTCTTGTATTTATGTCAGACTTCCAAAAATAAATGAAAAATATTGAAAAACAAAGAAAGTTGAGAATTTGGACTTTTTGAATTGGCTTCCGGTAGCGACAGGAAGTATTGACGACGAACGAAAAGTTGCGTCCTGGAAAGTATTGATCATCATCTATAAACTCTGAAAGTTTCACATTGATATCTTTTACTGTTTTTAAGTTTAATCGTGGACAAAATGTCGTTTTAAAATCAGGAAATTTATGGTCCAAAACTTGAGAGCCAGAGAGGAATTTCCAAACATCTGTCTCTGGAACTTTCAAGAGTATCTTACAACACATCTTTCCTGAAAATTTCATGTAATTCTATCTAGTAGTTGTCAAAAAGGCACTTGTAGGCTAATATGTTGAGGGATTAGGATAAAAATAATAATATTGATAAGAAACACCTGAGGCAAAAGAAAAAGTGAACTTTTCAGATCAAATTTGTCCATTGTTTATCTTCCTTTTTCAAGTTAACAGGAAAAACCTTAAAAAAAATAGATTTTCAGAGAGAGGAAACTGAAGTCTATTTGCCCTTTCAATGCAAGATAATTAGAAGTGTAGTTAAATGGCATCCTTAAAAATCTTATGAAAAACGGAGAAAAATGAAATATTAAAGCTTTATTTCATAATGTAGAATCTAGTTTATCAAAAATGTTCCCTGAGGTTAGGATGAGACTAAGTATAGGATAAAAAAGTTTTACAAAGGATGAAGGAAACACTCATTAAAAATCTCTTGATCAATAACTTCAAATCATCTTCGGGAAGTGTAAATTCTATTTTTTTCAAATCACAAAGAGTAAGGGTGCACCATGCAAGAAGTTTTACATAGAAATATGGAGGGAAAATCTCTTTAAAATCTTACAACAACAAAGCTATGTTTAGTGGCATCCGAGTCTAGATTCAATTCTAAATTCTTGACCCTGGGGGATACAGTGGGCCACAATATAATTCAAAAGTTCTACCTATGAATATTGGAGAAGATCTGTTTATGAAGAACAACAGGCCATAGTGACTCAGGTGAGCATTGTGGCCCAAGGGCCTCTAGTTTAATTCACTGTTGTTTTATTAACTGAAAATGGAATAATTTACAGTTTATTAACAAAATTCAGTTTTACTCTCTGTTGTATAACTGCTACCATAATCATAAATACCTTATGGCTGTGTTCTGTGATCAGAGATCTTGCAATGCTTTTGATGTTAAGGTGGCTCATTACATCAACAGTTTAGTTTAGATTTTAATACAGCACCACTTATAATGTAGATGTCAAATATCCAG